AGGGCAAGGGATTGAAAGTCAGTTTACTTGGGATAAAACAAATCTGAAAATGAGATTTTTCTTCAAAGGAACTATGTCCTATATGTGTTAGATTTAGTTTGACTGGTTACTGAATCAAAATAAATAACTTTATTAAATAATCAATCTTTGCAGAAATATAAATTAAAGTTACAAATAGAGGCAATGTTTGCATTTTACTTTATTCAGATCAACTAAAATTAGCTTTCCTTTCATAAAACTTTTACAGGGACAAAGATTTTTTGATGTGCTCATTTAATAAGGGTTCTAAACCCAATCCTGTTTTACAGGTGATGGGGTGCATAACAAATAGTATTTTCTGGGAAATATAATTGACTAATCCTATTATGTCTGTTGCAACAAATTAACCTTATTACTACTAGTAAATGGTGATTGATTATTTATGGAAATAAGTTACCATGTTCAGCTTTCTGATTGAAATAAACACATACAAAAGGTGCTTTAATATGACTTGAACTTTTTAATTATTAAAACCCTGAGGGGTCTATTAATTCACTCATTGCAATATTAGTTATTTACTTGTGTAATTCCTATTAGCTGTAACATATTTGCTTGAGTAAAGATGAGATAATTAATGTCATTAAAAATTAGTAATAGCTTTTGGAACTATTTTAAGATATACATTGGATTTGTACTAAAAATAGGCTTAAAACTGACTTTAAAACTTTGCTATTAGCATATGAGTTTATCAGTATATCAGCATAATTGTCCTAAAATTATTAATGCATTAAATAACACATGATTTCATTTATTAACTATATCTGAATTCAAAAATAAAATTTTGGCTTACAAAATCCTTTACCTTTTTTGGAGCATTAGTTGTCTGAATTAATGTTTTATTTTTGGTCATTTAAGTTAGTCATATTAAAACTCTGAAAATTTAATATAAAAATTACTATGCCACAAACTATATTAATAATATCACTCATAAATTATTAAAATCATCAAAAAAACAGTGTTTCTCTCTGCTAAAAATTCTATTTACTTATTCTTTTTAAACAGGTCCACAAAGCTTTTTCTAATCTGATATACTCTTATAAAAATAACTTACACAAATATTTATTTGGTAAATTTTCAAATATCTGCAGAAATTGAATGTTAAAATTGATTTGAGTCTTTTAAAATATATGCTCTTAATTCTTATTTGGTTTTTATTTTGTACTTAAATGTCTATTTAATATAATTTGAAATCAAAACTTTTTAAACAAGCAATGAAATTAACCTGTACACAACCGATTAAGGAATATTTTTAAATCTTAATTTCCCCCTAATAGCCAAGTCATGCTGAGAAAATCAGTAACAGTACTCAGACTGAAGTATGTGTCTTTCATTCTCTGTGTCTTTCTAAGGTTAGGGAAAGTATTTAAAATTTTTAATGAAAAAAATAAAATAATAAATTGCATCAGCAAAATCATAAAAGTATAAATGGTTGTTCATTTCAGTGAGACTACCCATATAAGCTGTAATGGAAAGTTGGCAATCCCCTTCTACTAAAAAAATTGTTTCACATTAGACTGAAATTAGGCTGAATGCTCCTTGTGATGAAGGTTCATATAGTATATATTCCTACATACTAAAGTCCCAGCATAGTACCAAAAGATGGTAGGTATTCAAAAATACGTTATTTGGAGCAATTAACTGATGAACTTAAGATTCATATGCATTATTAAATCTAGTGTTGCATTCTTTTATTTAGATGAAGATAGTTTACAAAATTGTAATTTGTAATATCAATTTTAAAACTCAAGCTTTTTTATATCATGATGAAAAATACTGATTTAAAGCAAAGCAAATTGGGATATAAGGAAAAAAAAGTATGAATGTTCCAATATCATCCTGTCAGTACTACTAATTCCCTGAACAAAATGAATGTATGAGACAAGGATGATACCACTGTTCTATTTTTATCACCACAAAAAATCTTTGCCTTGGAAACAAAAGTGTCTCCATAGGTTCTAAGAGCTGTCCTTTCATCTCTTGTTACCTGTGATCAAATATCAAGACCACAATGCCAAAGTATACCAGTTTGCCAGATCTAAATTAAAATCCTTGATATTTTTTATATTACTCTCCAAAGGAGGTGATTTAAGAACATAATATCACCTGTAGTGTCCTCAGGCTTATAAAGCGAGATGCCAAATGGGGGTGGGGGACACCAGTAAAAATATTTCTAACTAATTTTCATTAATGACTAAAGAAAGCAAAGAAAGGAAATGAGAAAATGAATGCTTCCAGTTGGTAAGACTAATAAAAGAAACCAAAAGTATAGAACCTTAGTTTATCCTTGACAGGTTAAATTCTAATAATATGATTATTATCATTTTCTGAATGCCCCCTAAGGGACCAGCACTATTTTAAATATATTACATTTAATCCTCATAACATTCTTTCAAGGTAGGTTTCATTATCCCACACGTGTAGAGTGACTCAGAGGCTCAGAAAACTCAAGGTAATCTCCTAATATCTTACCCTTACCTAAGGGAAAGCTAGGATGCCAACTCAATTCTGTCTGATGACAATGCCCATGTTCTTTCTACTGTACCATACTGTCTCAAAAATAACCATTGTATTGGATGCAAGGGAGTTCTGCAGACAAGGGATTGCTAAAGTTAATGTACACATTGATATCACCAACTGCCTGTATGGTATAAGGAAGGAGAAAATTGTAACAGAGCATTGATAACTTGTATTTATTAGCATGAACCCATAAAAATAGTATTATTTGAAAATTCATTCAGGTCCATGAGTGAAGTCACCTGATCAAGTTTCTGAAATTATTCATCAAACCAGGTGCTTAATTTTAAAACAAAAATGAAATCAAAGTAGTTAAAGAAATAATGCATTTGAAATCTCTACTATACTCTCTGACACATGGTAAGCACTCCATGGATATTTGCTACTATATTATTTTTATGAGCAAAACAACTGAGTTTTCACGAACTTTCTAAATTGTTCCACTATATATTTGATATCTTGATAACCTTAGATGAAGCAGAATTAACAAATGTTTCAATTAAATCCGATTTCATCACTCCTAAAATTTCTTTCTCTATTACGCTACCCATCATAATTATAAATAGCACAGTTAAGAAAGATTCAAAGTATAAGAAGGGTTTGGAGTTATCAGAGTTAACAATTGTATCCTAAGAAATACATTATTATCAGGTTTAAAGAATTAAGGGTATTAATAGCCCCCTTACTTTAATCAAAATTGAAATTACTAACAACTAAAGCTGAAAAAATATTTTGCTAAAAGGAATTCTTGATTTGAAATTCTATATAAAAATGTAGCTCACCAATCACATAACTAAAATTTTTACACTGTTATAAATTTTATAATAAAACATTAAAATATTTTGACTTTTTATTTTTTAAATTATCTTTAAATTATTGACTAAGTAATTAGCATCTAAAGATCTCGGTGTGGGTACTGGATCTATTACTACTAGCTTTGTTGTCTGTAAACCAGCCACATTAAAGCTCTGAGTTTTTATTTTTTAAATTATCTTTAAATTATTGACTAAGTAATTAGCATCTAAAGATCTCGGTTTGGGTACTGGATCTATTACTACTAGCTTTGTTGTCTGTAAACCAGCCACATTAAAGCTCTGAGTTTTTTTTTTTTTACTTACCTGTTAAATGAAGATAACTCAGCTATACAAATCCAAGTAAATGTAAAGACAGTCATCATTAGTGAAAAGTATTGGTACTTAGACTACCAAGTAGCTAGAGGTATAGGAGATCTTTGCGCCGAATGTGCATGGCCAGCCCAGTAGGTGGAATGTTTCTGAATCTGGGTGCCTCTTAGGGTGACATTCAGTCTTGGGTCTCACCTTCCACCACTGGGACTTGACTTGCCCATTCCTGAAAACACTGAAATATATGACTCTGGCTAGAAATATGCCACCACACTTGAAAGTCTACAAGAAAAAATAGAAACCCAGAAATTGCTAATTTCCTGACTAGAGCTCAAGAAACAAAACACATCTCAACTCCCAAATTGATACTTTTTAAAACCATATATTTTTTTTATTTTTTATTTTTTCCTTTTTGTCTTTTTTCATGTCTGGCAACAGATTGTAACCCTCAGTGTCGCGCCCGTACCGCACCGGGACCGGCAACGGGATCGCAACCCTCGGTGTTGCGCCCGCTCCTCACTCAGCCAGTGAGCGGGAACCGGTCTGTATGTGGGATCCGAACCCTTAGCGGGAGCGCTGCCGCGCTCCCAAACAGCGCACTGTAGCAATGCGCCACCGGGCCGGCCCAAAAACCATATTTATTTTGAAGAAAATATTTTACATGTAATGTATTATTTTTTTAAGCAACCGTGACAAAAATCTGAAGTATTGAAATTTTAGCAAGTATAAAAAAATAAATTTCTAAGTATTCCAAATTCCACATTTACATCTCTATATGAAGATGTGATTGCTAAAGCAATTTTATTCAGTTCTTCCTGAAAACGTCTATCAAAATTTAGAAAGGATGAAAGAATGATTTTAATCTTAAGCTCAATTAAAAGAGAAAACATGAAAGCCACCTCAGCTTGATAACTTGTTAGTTCTTGATCAATTTTCAACACAATAAGCCGCTCAGAATGAGTGCGAGGCTGTGCCCTTCGAACATGAAAGCCACCTCAGCTTGATAACTTGTTAGTTCTTGATCAATTTTCAACACAATAAGTCGCTCAGAATGAGTTTGGACAGCGAGGCTGTGCCCTTCATGTTGTGTTATCAGTGTGGCAGATCACAGGGCTGACGTGCACCTTTCTGCCTCTATGAAGCCGCTGTCACAGACAGTCATGGTGCCTGCGCACACCAACACAGAAACACGGAATTGAAGCCGGAGCAGTGTCTTTGTGAGATCTTTTCAACAAGTCATGTCCCATTCAGCCTGCTAGTTTATCTCTGTCAGGCTCGGGGCCCAAGTGGCTTGCGGGAGCTGTCAGGGACAGGTAGACCAACCTGCTTTGTGCTGAGGAGGTAATGCATCTTTCGGGCTTGGTAATCTCTTTTCTTCTGTTCCCTTTCGAGGTTAGCCTTCTTCTCTTCTCTTTCTTTCATCTCTGCAAACTCCTCCAGTGCCTCCCTGCATCAAAACCATCTGCAGTTATTTACGATACTATCAGTTAACATCTTCATTCTTTCACTGGTGATAACCAAGTAAGTTTTTTGAGAAGAGGCCATCCTCCACATCTATCACAATAAGTGCCGTAATCTATTCTACCTGCATATTATACATGAAGCATTGCAATCTGTAGAAAGCATTTAAGTGACTTTTCAGTGAATTGAGTTTCACAATCATATGCCCTTATATTGTAATTAATTCAATAGCTGAGGTAATACTCATATCAAATGCAGAATAAGTGACTTATTACATTATCAGTTCCTTTGGTTGAAGGTTAGCTATTTTGGACATATTTAAATATCCCAAGAAAGCATCTAAGCTACTGATTTCCTTTAAATTTTGGTTTTGTATTTATAAATGTCTAATCATTTATTTTGTATACTAACTACTGGGTAAATTTAAAAAGTGTGACAGGTTTTATACACATGCTTACTTTATTGTAGGTTTTTACTTCAGTTAACAGTTCAAATAATATCAATAAAATTACATATACTATCATTCACTTGAAAGGTTGACATTTTGATCACTTATATAAATAATGTGAATAAAAGCTAAGTTAGGTGAATAAGTTCAAGTTTTTCCTAAGTATAAGAAATTCCATTAAAATAATTAAAGTTTTCATCATTTATGTGTCTGTATCTAAGAAATTTAAACAGAAAATAAGCTTTTAAATATACTATGTGAAAAACACCTGCTAAACAGAATAAGATATTATCAAATATGGAAAAATAGCTAAATCCTTTATTTTCATAGGACACGTTTAACTATTCATGTTAAAATAATGCTTTGAAATTGTACCCTACTCTTATTAAAAAATAGAAATGTAACTTATTGTCTAGTTCTATATGTAAAATTTTTAAGTAAATAATCTGAGCATTTTCCTCAAAGATATCAGAGACAAGTAGAGGAAAACATTTAAAAAATAAAAGATTCTCTTTTCTACCTCAGTGTCCAGAAATGTTGCAATTTTCTGTTAAAGGCTGCTAATACAATACTTCATACAAGGTTACTTATGAAACACACTGACGTTTAAAAATCACCAAGCTATGCTATTGCAGCAGAGCAATTTTTTTCAACATAAGATTAAATTGCAAAATAAATGAATTACTTGGAGTGGCATGGCCCCCATTTTGCCACCCTTCTCTTGAAAATTGCTTATTAATATGAAAAAAGGAGTCAGAAAATAGCCTGTTTTACTTTATGTATAGTATTTTGGGGCTTCTGCACCCAAAGAGCCGGGCTAGCTGCACATTTAGATTTTGTTGGCAAGCTGGTACAATGACCTTTCTGACCTGCATCTCAAGGCTATTATTAATCGCTAAGTAACCTGGTAAAGCCAAACAAATTTGTTTCCATTGAAAGGATCTCTATCTGTGTCTGAGAATTTGTTCTGTACCAAACAAACCTCATTAACTGTGTCCATTTTTGACAAAGAACCAGGAGTTAGAGGGATTGGTGACCTTCCTTTGTCCGTAAGGTACATTTCAAGGCAATTACATATGAATAAATAAGTATTTATACCAGAAAAAATAACACTTATATGTTACATAAAAAAGTGACTGTTCATTTCAATCTTTACTTTCTATATGATGTAAACAATAAATATTTGTTCTATAATTCCTCTTACAAACCTTTAAGTTAATTTAAAATAACCAATGAACTGCCATTATAATTACTCAGAAAATGCATGCATACATTTTTATATTACTCTAAAGGTAAGTACAGTAATTTTCTAAGGAATTTCTTACAAACCTTTAAGTTAATTTAAAATAACCAATGAACTGCCATTATAATTACTCAGAAATGCATGCATCTATTTTTATATTACTCTAAAGGTAAGTACAGTAATTTTCTAAGGAATTATAAAAAAATACATCTATAAAGAAGTTTGTGCTCTATAGATGATTTAATCAATATGAAGAAATCCTATGTAAAAAGAAAGGCTCAATGTCATCGAAAACATATATGAATGGGTAAGATACAAAGAAGTGCATAGAACTTGGATACAAAATCAGAAGTGCAAGTTATTTGAAGTAGTAAGAACAGTGCATCTTCAGGATATGGAAATGAAAATAAAAGTGTGTATTTTGGGGGCATAGCAAGGACAGCCAAAACTGGGCATTATGGAAAAGAATGTGAGCGTCCAGTGCATAAAGACAACACACAGGAAACCCAGAAGGAATGGGAAGCCCTAAAAATAAATCCGAGAAATTTAACAGAACATTAGAAAAACTAATCTGGGATAATTTCAAAACACAAAAGTAGTTAATTTAATACATTCATACAACTACAGAAAAATCAATTCTCAGGTTCCTAATTGATTTATTATAATACTTGAGAGTGTGCAGATATATTGAACAGCACAGTAATATTAATGTCAAATATTTTTGTTAAAGGACAAAGTAGGAAGAGCCGAATAAATTACTTATCCTTGATATATAAGTTTTTGTTACATCAATAGGGATGATGTAACAAAAACCCTCACTGTGAAGGATGTAAAAAAAAAAATGAACCCACTAAAAATTAAAGGATGGAAATAATTCTAACTAGGATTCCTTACAAAATTATAAAAAATTTCCTACTTTTTTTTAATATGGAGATTTTTTAAATGCAGTACGTTTAAAACAAATAGGTTGTTTTTAATATATATATATATATATTTTTTCATTTCAGATGTATTTTCTCATTTCTATCCTCCAAAAAATCACCCTACGATATATATGGGATAGCTCTTACTAATTACCCTGTTTCACAAATATGGAAACACATAAAGAGATTAAATGATCTACTCTGAACAACAAATCAGTTAATGACAGAAATAAAATTAGAATTCCTACATCTGCAGATTTTCTAACTCCAGACCAGGCTACAGTCATCCTGATACATGAAATATCATGCAGAAGATATTTTTTACTGTATTAGCCACACATATTTTCCTTTATCTTACGATCCTGTTTTCTTCTATACAAAGAAACCTGGATAAGTCTCAAGACTTTCTGTATCATTTCCATATCTATAAAACATTCTGTGATACTAGTTTTAAAATAAAGATAAAAATTCCTGAAAGTTTTGCAAAGCTTTGCATATCTGAATATATTTTGTTACTGATATTTATAATGATAATAAAATATTTATGCTTTCTAATAATGATAGCAATGATAAAAATAATAGCAGCCCCTGGGAGGCAATATGGTGGAGTGTTTAAGGTCATTTTATACTCTGAAATGACACCTGGTTATAAAAGCTCTGTGGTGCTACTTATTAGTTGTTTAACCTCTGAGCTTCAAAATCCTCATCTGTAAAATGCATTTTCCTCATCAAGCTATTGTGAGGCTCAAATAAGTTAATTAATGTAAACTACTCAGAGTAGTGGCTGGCACATAGTGCGACATAAATGTTAGATATTTACTGAACGTTTACTATCAGCCAGGTACTAGACTACTTGCTTTATCTCCTCAACTGGATATGAAACCTTCATGCTTTCTCTAACTCCCTTGATGGTCGCTTCCTTTCTCTCTTCTGATGAGTGTGCACTTTGTGGATGAAACTCCACATATACAGTATGGACTCTAGCTTCATAAGAGGTATGAGGTATGGGGTTAGCCTTGACTAGCGGGAAGTGGGAGACAGAAGGGAACCATGCAAATAAATTTCCCCTTTCTCTGCCTTGCACACACTGCTGTGAGGAGTGGTTTCTCCTGAAAACCTGGAGAAAACCTGTGTGGCTAAGGATAGTAAGCATATGTGCTGTGCTATGTTGCATCAGCTATGAGACTCTAGGTGAAGAGCAATGGCTGGGCTGCAGGAGCTCATCATGTCACATTCCTCCCTACAGGACCAACGCACCCAGTCCTCCAGCTGCCAGGAGTGTTGGCTACAACTGCTCATAACTATAATCTCACTGGGGAAAATCAGCTGTCCCATCCCAGATTTGTCACCCTCTGTCCCTAGCCTGCATCCAATAAATAGGAAATGAGGGAATACATAGGCCCAGACTCTTTTCTCAGTTTGGGACCAATCTAAAGAGCCATCAAATCCCAGAGCTTCCTGAGACTGGCTGAGATTTCCGATGCAATTCAACTTTTCCCTGCCCTCCTCCTCCCTTCCCTATGAGACATTATTCCCCAAAATGCTCCCCAATAAATCTCATGCACTAAATCGCTTTCTCAGAGTCTGTTTCCATCCACAACACTTCTCACCCTCTTTTTCTCACCCTTGTTACCCTGGTCTTGAACCACCCAAACAAAGTATCAGCACTTCAATCCTTGATTTATGTTTTGCTTTTAAGTGGTTTTTAGCTAAAATATATATACATTACCTCATTTAATACTTTTATAGTCCTATGGGGCAGATATTATCACCCTCATTTTACAGATTAGGAAATGAGATTCACAGAGATTAAATCTCTGCCCCAAACTTTTACAACTAGAAAGTGGTAGAGTTAGAATTTAATTCAAGTCTGACTCCAAAACCCATGCCTTTAAACACAATTCTATACTTATAATACATTTTGCCCAAATCCAGTATTTTGTTTAGATGTCAATAAGACTATTTTTTTTTCTAAGAAGATAACTTGAATATTGTAGTATTCCAAAGCACACAAAAGGAAAAGAATGCTCTGTTTTGGAATAATTTAAATGAGCTGTCACTACCCTTTCATTATCAGATTATACAATTATATATAGATGGGTAGCTATGTGTGGCCATGGAGTACACAGACTTTTGCATTTGCAGCCCCAAATCTCCTCTCTTCTTTACACTATGCTTTCCACTTGCTATTTTTTGAGTAAGTAAAGAATGCTAATGTACATTATACTTATGGACAAAAGAAGACTGAAACTGAAAAGATGCTTAAAAGCTATTTGGCACAATACAATTAACAAACAATAAAAACCTATAAGGACTTTCAGAATTGGCCCCTGCTTCTCTCTCCATCTCACTTCATACCACTCTCTCTCTCA